TCTTGACCTCGTGATCCACCCGCCTTGGCCTCCCAAAGTGCTGAGATTACAGGCTTGAGCCACCGCGCCCGGCCCGATCCATATTATTTATCTTAGTCTTCACACCTAGTCCATGCTCATATCATCTTTGTGGAGTCATATTCATACTCTAAACTGCCCAGGCCATACCTTAGAAAACTGATTTTTGTGCAACAGATGAAACATAGTGATACAATATGTTCCAGAGCAATAAACTGTAATTAACCTTGTTTATTCCGGTCCTGCCTGGAACCTAGTTCAGAACTATCCCTAAACTGCTTACTTTCCCTAAACAGCATATCCTATGATAAACCAGATAGGAATCTTGTGGTTAATCTAGTTGCTTCAAGAAACAATAATGTCTTTAATTTTAGAGAATAAATCAGGGACCCTACATTTTAAAGTGTCTGAAAATATATCTTTAGATACTTCTTCTATTCTGGCATCAGTGGCATATTATTAACTATTTCTTTAAGCCTTGAATGTCCTAGAAGTCTATAAGACTACCTAGTAGAAATGAAATTCATGGTGTATTTGAAAAGTTTGGAACAATCATAACTGATTGTTCATTCAGTTATTTGGAAGCTTTGTTTGGAGGAATTAAATTATAATTAGATAATTTTTAAAAATGAATTATTTAACAAAGCCTACTTAAAAAGTATAAACTCTAATCAGTACAATCCATTTATTTACAAAATCAATGTGAAATTATATAAATAACTAATTTTTATGTATATTCACTCTGCAAACATTTAATACTTTAGAATAGCAATCACAGCTAATCACATTACACAGTAATAAGAGCATTGGTGGAAAAAATTGAAAAATAGTACAGACTCTAGAAGACAGACATATAAACCAATTTGCGGCAGGTCTAGGAGAGTAGTGAAAAGTCCCAAATGAAGAAATCATATGTAAATAGAGAAATGAAGAGTGAATAAGAAGCTGGCCAGGCTATAGCATGAGGAAAGAGTGGTGGAGGGGATTTAGGGGTGGTCGTCCCATCATAGGAAAGCCTATGTGCAAAGGAGTTGAAAAGGAAGTACAAATGTTGAGATAGTAATAAGACAATTTGGCTTGAGAAATAAGCAGGGGACTGATTATGTAAGGCCTTTAGGCCAATTAAAAATTTTGGATTTAATACAAAGGGTAAGGAAACCATTCCTCCTGGCAAACAATTTACATATATCTTCTCATTATAATTATCAGTAACATTCTCTTTTACTTTCAAAAGAATCTGAGTTATAATTTACAGTAGTGGAAATCAGAGAGTGGTCGTCTGGGGTAGCAGGAGGAGTGGAATGAGGAATCAGAGTGGAGATTAAATAGTTTAACCAGGAAGCAGCAGGAGGGAACTTCCTGGAGTGATAGATTAACACTCTATATCTTGGAAAGAATATGGGTTATACAGTTGTATGCATTTGTCAAAACTAATCTCATTGTATATTTAAAATGTGCATTTCACCATATATAAATTACAGCTCAAAAACAAATTTATAAATATGTCAGTTTGAACAATAAATCATATGGCTACCCTAAGAGAAATAAAGACACTTTGAAGGGTTTAAAGCAAGGAAGAGATATGATTGGACTTATTTTAGCAAGATCACTCTGGCTATAGTGTGAGAAGGGTGAAAAGGGGCAAGACTAAATGCTGGGGGATCAGATAGAAGGCTTTTACAGTAAGTGAAGTGTATGGTGCTGGCCTGAAATAAGATAGCTGCAGCAAGAATGCAGACACAGGCACAAAACTGAGATATACAGAGGAGCACAACTGGAAACATCCAAGAGGTAGTTGGACAAAATTTCTGGTGCTCATAGGGATGGCCTGGGACTAGCACTGATAAAAAGATACAAAAGCAATAAGAGATATTGCTGTTGTATTCGCCAATGTTATGAAAGATGAATATCCTTCTTCATATTTTTATACTCCCATCAACAAGCAACTTTATTATAATATTCTCAAATAGGAAATCACCCAATTTTCTCTTACAACAATGAAAACAGATGTCTTTATTTTCCTAAACACTTGTATCAAGACAGGTTTTCATGTGTTCAACCACTTCTGATTTTATAATCACAATATGTGATTATTTAGTCAGCAACCAGATCAATGGAGTTAGTGGTGAATCAGAAAGCTCTAGTTGTTACAGTTGGAAAGAACAGTTGGAACAAATATGTCTCCAAAGTTTTGAAGGGCGTCTTCAACTTTGGAGTTGCCCTGGGGCCTAATCAGTGCCTGGAACATTACTCTTGCTAAGGAAAAAATCTGAATTCATGTAAAATGACACCATTTTAGCACCATCAGAATCAATTTGCCCTGATAGACATTTCAAGTAATATGATTTAAAAGCGTCTGCATGCTTGCTTTATCTTCCTAATAAAGACAGGATAAAATAAATGCTTATTCTGTGCCACGTTCTGACCTAAGTACTTAGCATACATTATCCCATTTAACCTTATAGCAACCCATGTTTCATTCCCTTTTATGTGTGAAAAAAATTAAATGGAAGGACTGAGAGGCTAAGTAGCTCATCCAAAGTCAAACAGCTAGCAAATATAGAGTTAGGATTGGAAAACAAAGCCTGAAGCTTCAAACCATTATGCCCCAACCCTATGTATTTTTTACATTGTTTTCATTGAGATTGCAATATATAATCAGCAGATGCCTAAATCTGATGCCTACTTGATAGTTATAGGGTGTATATTATCCATATATATGAAGAGTTAAGATTATACAATTAATACCTCAGAACCAAGGTTCAATCTGGTATATGAAAAAATAAAGGGATGGGTATGAAACAACAGTGGGAGAAAAGATGAGATAATGTGTCATAACAAATGTGAGTCTTACCTGCTATCGATTTTTCTATTCCCTTGAAATTACACCCTGGGGCCAAAAAAAATGCTACTTATATCTATGCTTATTTGTTACTACTGAGAATATCAGATTAACAGTAAAACATATACTTAACTTCTTTCAAGTAACAGACTTACAAATAAGATCTTAAATGGATTCTTTCTCACAGATGAGCAAAACACCAGGTTTAAATTTGAAGCATTTTATTTAAAATCTGAAGGAAATCATCTGTCATACTGAGAACAAGAGTCATATCAGAACAAACAAATAATACTAGAATAATATAGAGCAAGGTCAATAATAATAGAGAAACATATGGCTGAGAGAGTATTTCATTTCTGGCTCAGGATTGAGAATCTGTAAATAAGACAAAGCTGTCTATACCTCGTGGTATACCTGGTGGTCAGATAAAGACACAGAGCTGGGATGGGAGACAAGCAAGGGTCAGTTGTTATACTTTTATCAATTCTACATAGTAAACTTTGTTAGACTTCTTGTAATTGCTTCAATTTAAAGTAGGAACCATATCCAAGTCACGCACCAAAAATAAAAAATAAAAATAAATAAAGTAGGAACTAAGTACTTAGTAAGTAAAATAACATTCTATTCAGGTTTTGTTTAGTCAACAGCTTGTACTAAAAAATAAAATATCTGGCCAGGCACAATGGCTCGTGTCTGTAATCCCAGCACTTTGGGAGGCCGAGGTGGGTGGATCACCTGAGGTCAGGAGTTCGAAACCAGCCTGGCCAACATGGTGAAACTCCATCTCTGAAAAAAAAAAAAAATACAAAAATTAGCTGGGCATGGTGGTGCTTGCCTGTAATCCCAGCTACCTGGGAGGCTAAGGCAGGAGAATCACTTGAACTCAGGAGGTAAAGGGTGCAGTGAACCAAGATCATGCCACTGCACTCCAGCCTCGGTGACAGAGTAAGACTCTGCCAAAAAAAAAAAAAAAAAATCAAGAATCCAGAATCCAGGAGCTCCTATTTATTTTTAGGTAAATTTGAAATTGCACAAGATTTTTCTTCTATAAGAATGCACATGCCCCTTAATGTTATTTATGAATTCATTTATTAAGGCAAGACAAATGATGTAGTGGAAGTAGAGAAGGAACAAAAAATGTTAACTGATAGTGATCAATTACTTGTAAAAACCACTTCACTCAGACCAGCCCCATAATTTAAAATCTGAAGTCCTAGGTGTTTCTTTTGATTGAGTGTTTCTCGAAATTCCAAATAGAAATATTGGGAGCTAATATTCTGCAAACTTATACTACCTAATCCATTATAGAAGACCCACCTCTTGGAATACAAATTTAGTTCACACTTCCTGCTGATGTAATCTTTGGCCTCCTGCTGAGATTATAAGTGAAGACACCAATTTTGTCCTTAGTTCTTATCATGTAGAACACTATCTATGATAAAGTGAAATATGAACACCAGTTCTTTTCACATAACAGAAAGCCATCAAAGAGCCCTCACCAAATAGCAATGAGTTTTGATCACTCCAATCTAGTCTGCTTTGGCACAAGAGACCTTAAAGAGAAAACACAATTTCCTAAGTCTCTTACAGAGGATTTTACTCAATAGGGGAGAAATTATAAATAAAATTCTTTAATAAGCTTTCTCAGTTAAAAGTTAATAACTCTCCTGACTAAATTATATCATACCTTCTACTTACTCTTATAGTTTATTAAAATATATCATAAATAAGGGACAAAATAAAAGAGGAATGACATTTATAAAAGCAGATTAAGGTCAATCCTGTCAAGTTCGATTTAGCCTTAGATCAGCTAAACAGAAGAACTAAAATAGTTCTTCATTTCACTGAAAATTTCCGTGAAAGTATAATATACTCAAGTCTCTACCACATTTTGCTGTTGAGTTTTCTCAGCCTGTTGCCGCTAGTAATCGCTAGTTTCTACATTTAACAGCCTTTTTCCATTATTTATCATATTTAACTTTTCTACACTGTGTGACACTTTACTCAATGACTTTAACATGTGTTTATTAAGTAATCTACTATGTATGAAGCTGGGATTCAAAGATGAAAGTACTCTGCTCCTTGATCTAAGAAAACCAAGGTTTTAGATTAATCTCCCACTGAAAAGTTATCTTCCTAAATGTTGTGTGTTTTTTGTTTGTTTTTTTTCTTTTTTTGTAGCTCTCCTCCTGTCTTTGTCATTTTTCTTCTGGCTGCTTTACAACTCCCTCTTCATAAGCCGTCTCATTAGTGTTCCCTCTGGGCTCTGCATTCAGCCCTTACCTTTCCCTGAGGAATCTACTCTTATTGCTATACACAACTGATAAAAGTTTGGGCTCTCTAGCCAGAATGCTAGGTTCAGAATCCATTTGAACAACCTAACAGCTATGTAAAATCATTCATGCAACTTTTCCTCTCTTTGCTTCAATTTCCTATTCTGTGAAACAAAAGAGCTGTATTGAAGATAACTGCTATAATACAAATAATGTTCAACACAATGTCTAGCATGTAAAAATGCTTAGTAAACGGGAATCTTTTATTACTGAGGCAGAATAGTATAAATAGTTGAGAACGTGAACACAGAGGCCAGACTGCATTGACTCAAATCAATGTCTGCACTTAAGAGATGTGGAACCTTGGGTGAGTGACATGGCTTCTCTGCCTCAGCCTTCTCATCTACAAAACAGGATAATAACTAATATCTACTTCACAGTGTTGCAGTGAGAATTTGATAAATTTACAAGAGTTAAGTGCGTGGAGCAGCATTCAGTAAGGTTTTCCTAAGTATTATCAATGTTCCCAATGTGTCCTCAGAGCTGCATATTTTTTCATGCAACAATGGTTACTTTGATATTTTAACCATAATGTTTGAAGAAATAAAACACATTATGTCTAAGACTTATCTAATTATCTTCTTCAAAATTTTTCCTTTCCCTTAACTAACAGCATCACCGTGATTTATCTAATCTTCTAGGTAAGAAATTTCAGTAACTTTTACTCTTCACTTTCTTGAAGATCTCTCAGTAGAATCAGAAAAGGCATTGGGCAAAATTCAACACTTTTTCATAATAAAAAATCTCAACAAACTACAAACAGGGGGAGACTACCTCAAAATAAAGAAGGCCATATATGAAAAGCTCACCGTTAACATTATACTTAAGGGAGAAAAGCTGAAAGTCTTTCTTAAGATCAGAAACAAAGCCAAAATGCCTATTCTTATCACTCCTATTCAATACAGTACTGGAAGTCACAGTCAGAGCAATTAGGCAACAAAAAGAAATAATGGGCATCCAAACTGAAAAAGAAGAAGTAAAATTATTTCTGTTCACAGATGACATAATCTTATATGTAGAAAACCCTAAAGAGTGCATCAAAAATCTATTAGAAGAACTAAAAAAATTCAGAAAAGTTTGTTGTAGAATATATAAATCAACATACAAAATCAGTTGTGTTTGTAACACTAATATCAATCTATCTGACAAGCAAATTAAGGAAACAATCCCATTAACAATAAGATCAAAAAGAATAAAATTTTTAGGAATAAAATTGACCAAGGAAATGAAAGATTTGCAAATGAAAAACTACAGAATACTGATGAAAGAAATTTTAAGAGACACAAATAAATAAAAAGACATCCCATATTCATGAACTGGAAAACTTCAACATCATTACAATAGCCATAATACATAAAGTAATCTATAGATTCAATGCAATCCCTATCAAATTCCCAATGGTATTTTTTACAGAAAAAAAAACAAAAACCTAAAATTAATATGGAACCATGAAGGACCCCAAATAGCCAAAACAATCTTGAATTGGCTATTTGGGGTAGAATAACAAAGCTAGAAGCAACATATTTCCTCATTTCAAAGTATATTACAAAACTATGGTAATTAAAACATTATGGTACTGGCAGAAAGACATATAACCAATGGAATAGAATAGAGAGCTCAGAAATAAACCCATGCAAATATGGTCAACGAATTTTCAACAAATGTACCAAGAATGCACAATGAGCAAGAATAGTCTCTTCAACAAATGTTGTTGGGAAAACTGGATGTCTACATGTAAAAGAATGAAATTGGATACTTATCTTACAGTACACACAAAAATCAATTCAAAATGGACAAAAGGCCTAAGCAGCTTTTTGGCAATGGGTTTGCCACCAGAATAAGGGTGTTATGAAAACCATTCCTAAATGAAAGCCAAAATGGGAAAGAAAATGACTCATATCAACATCATCATCACTAGACATGTAGATTCATTCAAGTCCATTACTACTGGCCATCCAATCTATAAATGTGGTGGGACTGACCACAGAACCACAAAAAAATGTGAGGACAAGACTAGTGAGATGAGAAAGGGGTCCTTCAAGCATGCCTGGGTCTTGGGTAAATTGAAAGCTGAGCCTGAGCATGGTTTCACCACTGGTATCTCCAAGTGGAAATTTGAGACCACCAAATACTACTATGTGACTATCATTGAAGCCCCTATGTGACTATCATTGATACCCCAGGATACAGAAACATGTAATCATGTTTATTACAGGAACATTTATTGTATCAGTCCATTTTCACACTGCTGATAAACACATACCCAAGACTGGGTAATTTATGAAGAAAGGGAGGTTTAATGGACTCACAGTCCCACATGGCTGGGGAGGCCTCATAATCATGCTAGAAGGTGAGGGAAGATTGAAGTCACATCTTACATGGCAGCAGGCAAGGAGAGAAAGAGAATAAAGTGAAATGGGAACCTGTTATAAAACCATCAAATCTCACTACCACAAGAACAGTATGGGGGAGACTGCTCCACGAGTTAATTATCTCCCACCAAGTAACCTCCCACAACATGTGAGAATTATGGGGACTACAATTCAAGATGCAATTTGGGTGGGGACACAGAGACAAACCATACCCATCTCAAATTGACTGTGCTCTTCTTACTGTTGCTGCTGGTGCTGATGAATCTGAAGTTGGTTTCTCCAAGAATGGGCAGACTCATGAGCATATCCCTTCTGGCTTCCACACTGATTGTAAAACAACCAACTGTTTATGTTAACAAAATCGATTCAACTGACTCACCCAATAGCCAGAAGAGATGAGAAAATCCTTAAGGAAATCAGCACCTATATTAAGAAAATTGGCAACACACCTGCCACAGTAGCATTTGTGCCAATTTCCGATTAGAATGGTGACAATATGTTGGAGTCAAGTGATAACATATCTTGGCTCAAGAGATGAAAAGTCACCTGTGGAAAGATGACAATACTAGTGGAAACATGCTGCTTAAAGCTCTGGATTGCATCCTACCACCAAACTGATACAATTGACAAGCTCTTGTGTTTGCCCCTGCCCAGTGTCTACAAATTGGTGATATTGGTGCTGTCCCTTTGGGCCGAGTGAAGACTCGTATGCTGAAGCCCAGCATGGGGTCTACTTTTGCATCAGTCAACATTACAATTGAAGTAGAGTCTGCTGAAATGCACCAAAAAGCTTTGAGTGAAGCTCTTCCTAAAGACAATGTGGGCTTCAATGTCAAGAATGTGTCTGTCAAAGATAATCGCCATCACAGTATTGCTGGTGACAGTAAAAATGACTCACCAATGAAAGCAGCTAGGAAGCACTGCTCACATGGTAATCTTGAACCATCCAGGCCGGATTGGTCCTGGATATCCTCCTGTGCTACACTATCACACAGCTTATATTGCTTGCAAGTTTGCTGAGCTGAAGGAAAAGATTGATTGCCACTCTGGTAAGAAGCTGGGAGATGGCTCTAAACTCCTGAAATCTAGTGATGCTGCCATTATTACATGGTTCCTGGAGTGTTAAAAGCTCTTCTGACCATCCTCCTCTGAGTCATTTTACTGTTCATAATTTGAGACAGTTGCAGTGGGTGTCTTCAAAGCAGTGGACAAGGGGGCTGCTAGAGTTGGGAAGGTCAGCAAGTCCGCCCGGAAAGTTTAGGAGGCTAAATGAATATTATCCCTAATACCTGCACCCTAGTTTTATTCAAGTTGAAAAACAGTCCCAGAAGTATTTGTCTGAAAAGGCAATTTAAGTTTAATAGTAAAAGACTGGTTAATGATAGCAATGCATTACAAAAGCTTTGGAAGGAAAGGAGAACATTTTATGGAACATTTTTGGGTTTTTTGTGTGGGAGTCTTTAAGTTGTCAGTTTTTAAAATAATTACTTCTTACTGAAAATAACTTGAGCAAAGAAATCTGTCATAGAATTTTGAAACCTGGGGACAATCGGAAGATGGCTGATTAGGAGGAGCTCAGGATTGCAGTTCCCAGTGAAAGCACAGAGGGTGAGTGGACGACACATTTCCAGACAGATTTTTATTGCCCACAGTCCAGGAGATTCCCAGGTGGAGGAACCCCACAGGTCGCCAGCGCGCCTGGTGTGGCTGGCGCAGCTGCTTTGCCAGCGCCCCAGGGCAGCGGTTCTCCATACAAAATACACGGGCCGGTCACCATTTTAGCTGGCGACTGGAGCTCCGGGAAGGCAGAGTCGCCCATTCATCTGATTAAAAAGGGGACTGAAAAGAGGAGCCAGGCCAGGAAATTCCTGGGCAAAAAAACGCCGCGAATCTCAGCGCCACTGTTTCAGCCAGCGCAGTGGGTCACCATACGGGAAATCACAGAGATCCCCGCGCCTTTAGAACAGGTGACTGGAACACCTGGGAGAGAGTCAACCATTCAACTAAAAATAAAAAATGGCTCTGAGGCAGAGAGGTAGGTGATCAGGCTCAGCTGATCCCACCCCCACAAAGAAACAGCAATTGGAAACGCTCTGGGTTGAGAGTTTCACAGCAAGCACAGCTGAATCAGGGTGGGTCCAGCTCTGTTGGGGAGGAGCGTCCACCATTACTGAGGCACTCCACCACTACGGAGGTAGTCAGCCATTGCTGAGGCAGCCCCCCATTGCTGAGGCAGCCCGCCCCTACAGAGAGAGTCTGCCATTACAGAGGTGGGTCACCATTGTGGAGGCAGTTCTAACTACACCCATATAAACAGGACTGCAGGGAAGCTCACACAGCAGCTGGGCAGAGCCCACAGCAGCTCAGCAAAGCCTCTGCAGGCAGACAGTGACTAGGCTTCCTCCTCACTGGGCAGGGCAGCCCCAATAAAAAGGCAGCAGCACAACGGAAACTCATAAATAAAGCCCTAACTACCCATGACACAGCACCTGGAGGAAAAAAAGAGGGGATTTATGAGTTCTGCTGCAGCAGACTTAAATGTACCTGCCCAGCAGCTCTAAATGAACACTGGAGATCACAGCTCTGCACTTGAGCTCCTATAAAGGACAGACTGTCTCCTCAAGCAGCTTCCTGACCCCCATATATCCAAAGAGTCACCTCATAAAGGAGGGCTCAGACTGACATCTGGCAGGTATCCTTCTGGGACAAAGATAGCAGAAGAAGAAACTGGCAGCAACCGTTACTGTTCTGCAGCCACTGTAGGTGATCCCCAGGCAAGCAGGGCCTGGAGTGGGCCTCAGCAGTCCTATAGCAGAGGGGTCAGACTGTTAGAAGGAAAACTAAGAAACAGAAGAAAATAACTTCATCATTAAAAAACTGGACGTCCACTCAGAGACACAATCTGAAAGTCAACAACTTCAAAAATGACAGGTGAATAAATCCACAAAGATGGGAAGAAACCAGTGCAAAAAAGGATGAAAACACCTGAAACCAGAACACCTCTCCTCCTACAAGGGATCACAACTCCTCACCAGCAAGGGAACAAGGTTGGATGGAGAACGAGTGGGACGAAATGACAGAATCAGGCTTCAGAAGGTGGGTAATAAGAAACTTCTGTGAGCTAAAAGAACATGTTCTAACCAAATGCAAAGAAACTAAGAACCTTGAAAAAAGGATTTGATGAGCTGCTAACGAGTATGGACAACTTAGAGAGGAATATAAGTGAATTGATGAAGCTGAAAAACACAACACGAGAACTTCGCGAAGCATACACAAGTTTCAACAGCCGAATTGATCAAGCAGAAGAAAGGATACCAGAGGTTGAAGAACAACCTAATGAAATAAAATGAGAAGGCAAGATTAGAGAAAAAAGGGTAAAAAGGAATGAACAAAGTCTCCAAGAAATATGGGACTATGTGAAAAGACCTAATCTACCTTGGATAGGTGTACATGAATGTGACGGAGAGAATGAATCCAAGCTGGAAAATACTCTTCAGGATATCATGCAGGAAAACTTCCCCAACCTAGCAAGGCAGGTCAATATTCAAGTCCAGGAAATACAGAGAACACCATAAAGATATTCCTCAAGAAGAGCAACTCCAAGGCACTTAATCGTCAGATCACAAGGGCCGAAATGAAGGAGAAAATGCTAAGGGCAGCCAGAGAGAAAGGTCGGGTTACCCACAAAGGGAAGCCCATCAGACTCACAGCAAATCTGTAAATGTCTATTAGGTTTGCTTGTTCCAGCTCTGAGTTCAAGTCCTGGATATCCTTGTTAATTTTCTGTCTGGTTGATCTAATATTGACAATGGGGTGTTAAAGTCAATATTTAACTTTAATATTGAGTGGGGGCCAATATTCAACATCCTTAAAGAAAAGAACTTGCAACCCAGAATTAATTATCCAGCCAAACTAAGCTTCATAAGTGAAGGAGAAATAAAATCCTGTGCGAACAAGCAGGTACTCAAGAGATTTCATCACCATCAGGCCTGCTTTACAAGAGCTCCTGAAAGAGGCTCTACACATATAAAGGAACAACCAGTACCAGCCACTCCAAAAACATGCCAAATGGTAAAGAGAATCAACACAATAAAGAATCTGCATCAACTAACGGGCAAAACAGCCAGCTACCATCAAAATGGCAGTATCAAATTCACACATAAAAATATTAACCCTAAATGTAAATGGGCTCAATGCCCCAATCAAAACACACAGACTGGCAAATAGGATAAAAAGCCAAAACCCATTGGTGTGTTGTATCCAGGAAACCCATCTCACATGCAAGAATACACAAAGGCTCAAAATAAAGGGATGGAGGAAGATTTACCAAGCAAATGGAGAGCAAAAAAAAGCAGGAGTTGCAATTTTCTTCTCTGATAAAATAGACTTTAAACCAACAACGATCAAAAGAGACAAAGAAAAACATTACATAATGGTAAAAGGATCAATGCAACAATAAGAGCTAATGATCCTAAATATATACGCACCCAATACAGGAGCACCCAGATACATAAGGCAAGTTCTTAATGACTTACAAAGAGACTTAGACTCCCACACAATAATAGTGGGAGACTTTAACACACCATTGTCAATATTAGACAGATCAACCAGACAGAAAATTAACAAGGATATCCATGACTTGAACTCAGACCTGGAACAAGCAAACCTAATAGACATTTACAGAACTCTCCACCCCAAATCCACAGAATATACATTCTTCCCAGCACCACATCACACCTACTCTAAAATTGACCACATAATTGGGAAAATCACTCCTCAGCAAATGCAAAACAACGGAAATCATAAGAAACAGTCTTTCCGACCACAGTGCAATCAAGTTAGAACTCAGAATGCAGAAACTAACTCAGAATCGCATAGCTTCATGGAAACTGAACAACTGGCTCTTGAATGTTGACTGGATAAACAGTGAAATGAAGGCAGAAATAAAGATGTTCTTCAAAACCGAGAACGAAGACACAACATACCAGAATCTCTGGGACACATTTAAAGCAGTCTCTAGGGGAAAATAAATGCCCACATGAGGAGCAAGGAGAGATCTAAAATTGACACCCTATCGTCAAAATTGAAAAAGCTAAAGGAGCAAGATTAAAGAAACTCAAAACCTAGCAGAAGACAAGAAATAACTAAGATCAGAGCAGAACTGAAGGAGATAGAGACACAAAAAACCATTAAAAAAATCAATAAATCCAGGAGCTGGTTTTTCGAAAAGATGAACAAAATAGACAGCCCACTAGCCAGATTAATAAAAAAAGAGAGAAAAATCAAATAGATGCAATTAAAACGATAAAGGGGATATCACCACAGATTCCACAGAAATACAAACCATCATCAGAGATTATTACAAACAACTCTATGCACATAAACTAGTAAACCAGGAAGAAATGGATAAATTCCTAGACACTTGCATGCTCCCAAGCCTAAACCAGGAAGAAGTAGAAACCTGAATAGACCAGTAACAAAGTCTGAAGTTGAGGCAGCAATTAAGAGCCTACCACGAAAAAAAGCCCAGGTCCAGATGGGTTCACAGCCGAATTCTACCAGACATACAAAGAGGAGCTGGTACCATTCCTTCTGAATCTGTTCCAAACAATCCAAAAAGAGGGAATCCTTCCCAAATCATTTTATGAGACCAACATCATCCTGATACCAAAACTCAGCAGAGACTCAGCAAGAAAAGAAAACTTCAGGTCAATATACATGATGAACATAGATGCAAAAATCTTCAATAAAATACTAGCAAGCCAATTGCAACAGCACATCAAAAAGCTTATCCACCATGATCAAGTAGGCTTCATCCCAGGGATGCAAGGCTGGTTCAACATATGCAAATCTATAAATGTAATTCACCACATAAACAGAACCAAAGACAAAAACCACATGATTATCTCAACTGATGCAGAGAAGGCCTTTGACAAAATTCAACAGCCCTTTTTGCTAAAAACCCTCAATAAGCTAGGTATTGACGGAACATATCTCAAAATAATAAAAGCTATTTACGATAAACCAACAGCCAATATCATACTGAATGGGCAAATACTGGAAGCATTCTCTTTGAAATCTGGCACTAGACAAGGATGCCCTCTCTCACCACTCCTACTCAATATAGTACTGGAAGTTCTAGCCAGAGCAATCAGGCAAGAAAAAGAAATAAAGGGTATTCAAATAGGAAAGGAGGAAGTCAAATTGTCTCTATTTGCAGATGACATGATTGTATATCTAGAAGATCCCATTGTCTCAGCCCCAAATCTCCTGAAACTGATAAGCAACTTCAGCAAAGTCTCAGGATACAAAATCAATGTGCAAAAATCAAATTCAGTCCTATACACCAATAACAGACTTAAAGAGAGCCAAATCAAGAACGAACTGCCATTCACAATTGCTATAGAGAGAATAAAATACCTAGGAATACAACTAACAGGGAACATAAAGGACCTCTTCAAGGAGAACTACAAGCCACTGCTCAACAAAATAAGAGAGGACACAAACACATGGAGAAACATTCCATGTTCATGGTTAGCAAGAATCAATATCGTGAAAATGGCCATACTGCCTAAAGTAATTTACAGATTCAACGCTATCCCCATCAGGCTACCAATGACCTTCTTCACAGAACTGGAAAAAACCACCTTAAACTTCATATGGAACCAAAAGAGAGCCCACATAGCCAAGTGACTTCTTAGCAAAAAGAACAAAGTGGGAGGCATCACACTACCGGACTTCAAACTATACTACAAGGCTACAGTAATCAAAACAGCATGGTACTGGTACAAAAACAGACATATAGACAAACGGAACAGAACAGAGGCCTCGGAGGTGACACAGCATATCTACAACCATCTGATCTTTGACAAACCTGACAAAAACAAGCAATGGGGAAAGGATTCCCTGTTTAATAAATGGTGTTGGGAAAACTGGCTAGCCATATGCAGAAAGCAGAAACTGGATCACTTCCTGACACCTTACACTAAAATTAACTCCAGATGGATTAAAGACTTAAACATAAGACCTAACACCATAAAAACCCTAGAAGAAAATCTAGGCAAAACCATTCAGGACATAGGCATAGGCAAGGACTTCATGACCAAACAATGTTGAATCATGAGAACACATGGACACAGGGAGGGGAGCATCACACACTGGGGTCTGTTGGGGGGAAATGGGGGAGGGACAGTGGGGGATGGGGAGTTGGGGAGAGATAGCATGGGGAGAAATGCCAGATAAAGGTGAAGGGGAGGAAGGCAGCAAATCACGCTGCCATGTGTGTACCTATGCAACAATTTTGCATGTTCTTCACATGTACCCCAAAACCTAAAATGTAATAAAAAAAAGAAAAAGAATTTTGAAACCCATTAAAATACTTTTTAACTTTAAAAAAATAGAGTTAAACATAAGACATGAAAAGTGTTAAACTCTTAGATGGAAACGGAAAATCACTCACGACCAGGGAAAAACTTTCATGACATTGGTCTTGGCAATAATTTCTTGGCTACAATACCAATTATGGATATATGATATGGATGTTTATAAACACATGCACAAGCAACTAAGGCACAAACAGACAAGTGGAATTACATCAAACTAAAAATCTTCTGTACTGAAGACAACCTAAAGAGTGAAAGGCAACCTATAACATCTAAGAAAATATTTGCAAACCATACATATGATACGGGGTTACTATCCAAGCTATGTAAGGAACTCCAATTAACGTAACAGCAAAAAAAAAAAAAAAACCTGATTAAAAATTGATAGAAGGACTCAGACATTTCTCCAAGGAAGTCAAATGAATAGCCGAGAGTTATATGAAAATAGGCTCAACATTACTAATTAGGAAGGAAATGCAAATCACAGTGGGATATCATTTCACACCTGTGAGAATGCCCATTATCAACAAACAAATAAACAAAGATAAGCATTGGAGAGGATGTAGAAAAACTGGCACCCTTGTATACTGTTGGTAAGAATATCAAATGGTATAGGAGCTATGGAAAACAGTTTCCCAAAAAATTAAAAATAGAACTACCACATGATCCAGCAATCCCACTTCTGGGTATTTACCCAAAATAACTGAAATCAAGATCTTAAAGGGGTATTTGCTCTTCCATGTTCTCTGCAGCATTGCTCAGAATGGCGAAGATGTGGAAATACCCTAAATGTCTACCAATAGATGAATGGAGAGTGAAACTGTGTTATATACACACAATGGAAAATTACTCAGCCTTAGAAAAAAGAAAAAAAAATCCTGTCATTTGCCACATGAATGAATCTGGAGAACATTATGCTAAGTGAAATAAGCCAGATAAGCCAGTCTCAAAAAGACAAATACTGCATGATTCCACTTAAATGAGACATCAAAAATAGTCAAACTCACAGAAACAGAAAGTTGGATGGTGGTTGCTAACCAGGGTCTGTGAGTAGGGAGATATGGCAAGTTGCCATTCAACAGGTACAAAATTCAGTTACATAACATGAGTAAGTTCCAGAGGTCTCATGTACAACACTGTGCTTATAGTTTAAAATACTGTACTGTAAACTTAACAATTGTTTATAAAGTACATGTCATGTATCTGTGTCTCCACAATAAAAAAAAGAAAGAAAAAAAATCTCAAATCCATTCCCTTTCCCACTTTCTCTTTGACCTTTCCCTAGTTCAGGTTCTCAACAGTTCTACTAAACAATTACGATAGTCTTCCTACTAGTCTCCATGTCTCCAACAGACTCCTTTTACCAATTCAAAGCACTTAAATCTAAAGTTACCTCTTTAAAATATAGATGTGATGTGGAAACCTCCGAAATATGTACCACTATGGTTATTCCCTATGAGTCAATGCCAAAGAAATTAGCAAAGTATACAAAGTTCTTTATAATCTGACACAACTACCTTTGTAGACTCAATATCAAGCTCCATATATCCCACACTCTAGCCACATTAAATTAGCAATTATTTGAACATGTTATTGTGCTTAATTTAATATTTTGTTACTTCTTCCATTCCCTACGGCTCAACTTGAAGTTATCTGATATTAATCTTCCTCCTTAACATCCCATATCCTATAAATAATAACTCCACAGACAATCATATAAAAATTTCAGATTATTACAATTAACAATCCCAGCTGGTCATATCAAAAGGAGCAAGTTAGTGATATTGTCTACCTCTTAAAAACTGAAATATTTATAAGGGTCATAGGGTATGATTATCAAATTATATTTTCCAGTATGGATTTAAAGACATAGGTTGGAGCCCATAAAAGCAGTTGTTCTTGGAGATTGTTCTCTTTTGCTAAACTTTGCCTGGTACCCAAATCATCATCCTCTCCTGAAGTCCAGTCAGAGGTTTCCTTCTACTTAGAAGATATTCTATTAGAATACCTGGCACATCCAAAGTTAAAAATATCATCTTCCTTCAAAATATGATCCTCTTACCATATGCCTTATTTTTACATTTTCATGCTTCTTCCTAACTTTTTGCAAACTTTAGAATCAGGGAACAACCTTTCCTTTATGAATACATCAATAACTAGTTAAAACCACATGGACTCTGTGTCTGCATTTTACAAAAATGACCACTAGATTGCATTATTGTCTGGTCAAACAGGCTAAGGACATAGCTGTATGTTACCACTTAGTACTAATTCACCAAGATAAGCTGCAATACTGTCACTTATCTAGAAAAATAAACATAAGTAAACACGTGACTGTTTAAATAACTGATACAAGGTATCAAAATAATTCGTATTTTAAATAAAACATTCACCATGACAATTAGTTAAAATATGTAAATACAACAATCATGAAGTTAATTTTTGAAATTAGGTTCATTTAAATGTACATAAAGATTAAGCAAATATTGTATACTACTTAAAATATTTCTAATCATACCTAACATTACGTCTTTAAGATTTAAAAGGTCTAAATATGCAAAGGTCTATTAAAATGCACATAATTTATCTGAATCAAAATGAAAACATATCTAATAAGTAATACTATTCATCTGGACTCTTTTAGCTCTCTCTTAACATACAAATGCATTCCTTTTCTCCAAAACAGGGCAGCTGGGAATGAAGGATTTCAAATGATCATTTTCACATCATATTCCATCTTTTCATCAGTTTCTCCTAGCTTTTCTTTGAGCTCCATTCTTTTACAAGAGGTCTCTTTTTAGATCGGTCCATATTTCCATAATCCACACTGCTGCTTCCTCCTCTTCTCCCCAGGGTAGAATAACCCCCACATCCAGAACTATGGCCTACAACTGTCATTAAGCCTTGTAACAATAACAAGATAACAAAAGAACGGGTGGGGAAGAGGCTAGCTGGTAACATATGTTGATCAAGTTCAATATTCTCAGCTAATATGCAATATTTTTAAACTTAAAAATTTTAATAATGAAATGCCTTCATATCTACTTCTTCTCCCAAAGTGTATTTCAGGCTTAAATTTTAAACATCAATAAGCAACTTGGCAATATTTCCTTTAAATATTTTATCTATTAATAATGTGAAAGGGGAAAGGAAAAATAGAAATCACATCAAACAGAAAGGTGAGGTGGCGATTCATTTTATAACCCACAAGCCCCACTCAGCCTATGCTAAAAAAAAAATTAGAAAAATTCCCCTAGAAGTCATTTTTAAAGCAATAGATAGTAATAATAAGCAAAAGTATTTCAAAGTAACATATTTTATGAGTTAATCATGACTTTATGCCAATTTTGCAATACTTTATTTTCTATCAAGTAACATTTTAAATGTTACTCTTGCTGTTTACATCTTTTGTTTCACTTCAGAGTTAACTAACTTTAACTTCTTTTTAAATTAAAGATAAAGAAAAATTTGAAATGGAAAACTTTGAACTGGCAGAGAGATTTTCATGTCATGTTACATTTATGTTTTTTCTCCTGACTTTGGGAAAATTGCTTCTAATTTATCAGCCTATGTTATGTAACCTTGAAAAAATAATTTCTCCACTCTATTTCTCTCAAAGGTTCAGAACTCTTTACAGAACTAAATTCCAATTCTACTTTTGACAAATGTTTACAGCTTAATAAAGAGTAACCTTTTGGGAAACCACTTTTATTTCTTTCAATCAGAATCATTTACTATTATTTAATTTCTATAGGTTACTGCATATATCAGACCTTCCAGGTCTGGCTTGAGTCATTTACATAGTTAGAATATAAATTTCACTGCCATAAAAATAGATATAAAAACTTCACCTCTAAGATCTCATTAAAGTAAAAATCTGTTCATCCTTCAACAGAAAAATAAGGTCATTTGTACAGGGATTTTCAAATACAATTTTATTATCTAAAATGTATGCAAAAATATTCTTTTCAATGGGAGTCCACTAGATCAAATATTCCAACAAATGCTTCAACTATAAAGCAAAATTCATAAAATATCACTGTTTTTCCAAATTAGTTCCTCTGTTTGCAATAAAATTTTAAAACTTTAACAGTAGAAAATAAAAAACAAACATGCAAGTAAAATAAGAATGTGATTATGTTTTGCCTTGAGCTTCCTCAAGTGCACCTGCAAAAGAAATGAAAAGTCTTGTCCATGTAAAGACGGATAGATAACAAAGACACATTTACGACAATGATTTTAGATTTATATATTTTGCCACATTTGCCCCTTACAATGTTTCATTCTCATTCACCTTTTTTTAGTCATAAGAACACACCAAAATGACAATACTGTATGTATCTACAAAGAAGCTAATAAGAAATAATTCCCATTTTAGCATTACCAAAATACACGACAAATAAAATTTTTGGAATATGAAACCAAGCAATCAGCCATAATATAATTATAATTCTCTTACATCTACCCATAATTGCTACAAAATTTATAAATTTTTATTTAATTAAACATTAAGAAATCAATTTGTTTTAGAAATGCAAGTTTATATATAATATTAATAGGGACAATGAGTTTATATATTATAGTCATAGGGAATTTACTATCACACATCAAACATTGGTTCACGACATTTCATTCTTTACATTTGGAAACACAATAGTTGATATAGAATGCAACTAAATTCTTTTCTGTCTGATGTAATCACTGGTAGTTAAAAACGGCAGAATCAAGCCCAAACCAGCAAAAAGAAATCCAATTTTCAGAAATCCTCAAACATTTAACTATTTATTTTGAAAGTATTAGAATTTAATAATTTATTTCTGCATAATTTAGATCTTCTTTGATGATGATACAAGAAGCAAAATTATAGAATACTCAATGTATCTCAATTTCAAATCATGAAAAACTTTAATCATTCCTACCAAATATCTTTTAAATCAATACAAAAATGTTTCAATTATGAATATATAAAAAATTATTTAATAATAAACCAGGCATTCTTCCTAAACCATGCAGACCTTAAATCCTACCTGCATGACTATTGGATCATTATTGAATATAAAAAGAAAACTGTATATAGTGCTGAGTATATTGGATTTAGTGTCAGCTAACTAGCTGGCTGCTAGTTAATTTAATAATGACCCAATAGTTATTATTGAATATAGAATAAAACAAAAATGTATGTAGTGAGTATACTGGATTTAGTGTCAGCTAACTAAGCTGGCTGCCTGTAGTCATTCCTATGAAGATGCAGCTAAAGGGTAAAATTTTAAATTCTCTTCTATTTTTTTCCTATTATAATACATAATTTCTTCCTATTATTCATTCTTACAGTTATAGTTTAAACTGTTTCCAGATAATTTCTACCAAGATTTAATTAATAAAATTTTTATCGTTATAATTTAAAATAATCATGTAACATATGCACTTTTCTAAAAGGATTTCTTAATGCATTTTTATTATTTATAAAGGAAGCACATACTAGGTTGTCAATATATACTGAAATTTAATTTTACCTCCTACAGAAATTAGGGGCAGGGGAAGGAACAAACAAGTCAGGCACTATCAGGAACAGTCAAGGATCTATTAAATCTTCATGATATCCAACCCCTCTGCTACGTTACATCATTTCATTCAGACTTTTATAAATTCCTATTGTATGTGTTATAACACCAGTTCAAAATCTTTCCAAATTTAAGGTGAAACACCATTCTTAAATCCATCCTTCTTAGATTACCTTGCCTATTATTTTTCCAAGAAGATTAAGATAAGTGACCACAAATTTATTCAACTTCCTCTGACTCATCACTCATTCAACTAGCTGCTCAAAAACACATAGGCATATCTTATTATGTTCCAGCCATTCTACTAGATGTGGAGATTGAAAAATGAGAAGTTCTGTCCCTTTTCCTTCAAGAAACATACATACAGCCTAGGAGAGATAGAGACATGAAAAAAAAATGAAAATACAGTTTACAATTAGAGATATATATAAGAAGCTATGGAAGTACAGACAGCTTGCCTTGCAGGTTCAGGAAAGCCTTCAAAAAAGGATTAATTTTCAAACTCAGTTTTAAGAATAAATAGAAGCGGACCACACAAAAGAAGAAACAGAACGGAAAAGAAAAGTAAAAACAGAAATTCCACAAAATAAAAAGAAACAAAACCTAAGAAGACAGGGGACAGTGTGTGAAAGAAGTCTGACCATGACCCCTTATTCGCTGAAAACCTACCCCAGTGCTTCAGACAGACCTTAACTCCTACAATGAATCCTGTGAACTATTACGTCACTGATAGCAGGGAATACTTTTTGATGGCAAAAACCATATAACTGGCAGGGTTAGGATTCAAACTCACATCTACATTATCAAAAAGTTATGTAAGTCTTCAGCTAAATAAAATAAGTAACATTTTAAGTCTCTATCACTCTACCTCAACTTCAAATCATGAATTAATTCTGTCTTTCCACTACAATAGGGTATCATACTCAATTATCCGAACTATACATGAGTGTCCTCCACTCTAAGAACAGGACGAATTAAAGGACAAAGCTCAGTGATCAAAAAATAAGGCTTAAAGATCACTTCCTGTTTACCAGCATCTCTTCATAAATCTCAGTCACGCACTCAAATTAGAAGTAGAGCCAGAACACAAATTGAATAGTCAAGACCCATTGGCATGCTGGGTTCAGAAGACCCACCTCACATGCAAAGGCAACACATAGACTCAAAATAAAGGGATGGAGAAAAATTTGCCAAGCAAATGGAAAAAAAAAAAAAAAAGCAGGGATTGCAGTCCCAGTTGCTGACAAAATGGACTTTAAACTAACAAAAGTCAAAAAAGACAAAGAAGGGCATTATATAATGGTAAAGGGAACAATTCAACAAGAAGAGTTAACTATTCTGAATATATATGCAACCAATATAGGAGCACCCAGATTCATAAAACAAGTTCTTAGAGGCCTACAAAGAGACCTAGACTCCAATACAATAATGGGAGACATTAGCATCCCACCATCAGTATTAGACAGATCAATAAGACAGAAAATTAATAAGGATATCAGGGCTTGAACTCAGCTCTGGATCAAGTGGACCTGTTAAATGTCTACAGAATTCTCTACCCTAAATGAATAGAAAATATATCCTTCTCAGTGCCACATGGCACTTATTCCAAAATCAACCACATAATTGGAAGTAAAATATTGCTCAGTAAACGCAAAAGAACAGAAATAATAACAAACAGTCTCTCAGACCACAGTGCAATCAAATTAGAAGTCAGGATTAAGAAATTCACTCAAAACCCCAGACTTACATGAAAATTGAACAACCTGCTCCTGAATGACTTCCGGGTAAATATTGAAATTTGGCAGAAATCAAGAAGTTCTTTGAAACCAGTGAGAGCCAAGAGACAACATACCATAATCTCTGGTACACAGCTAAAGCAGTGTTAAGAGGGAAATTTATAGCACTGAACGCTCACATCAGAAAGCTAGAAAGATCTCAAATTCATACGCTAACATCACAATTAAAAGAGCTAGAGAAGCAAGATCAAATTAATCAGAAAGCTAGCAGAAGACAAGAAATAACATAGAGAAGAATCAAAGGAGATAGAGACATGACAAACCCTCCAAAAACATCAATGGACCCACAAGCTGTTTTTTTGGAAAAAAAAAAAAAAAGCAGACCACTACCTAGGCTAATAAAGAAAATAATCAAGTAGACACAATAAAAATGATAAAGGGGATATCACCTCTGACCTCACAGAAATGCAAACTACCATTAGAGAACAATATAAATACCTCTATGTAAATAAACTCGAAAATCTAGAAGAAAAGGATGAATTTCTGAACACCTACACCCTCCCAAGACTAAACCAGGAAGAAGTTGAATCCCTGAATAGACCTATAACAAGTTCTGAAATTGAGGCAGTAATAGCCTACCAACCAGAAAAAGTCCAGGACCAGCTTGACTGACACCTTCATTCTACCAGAAATAGAAGAAGGAGCTGCTACCATTCCTGATACCAACACCAGGAAGAGACACATACAAAAAAAGAAACTTCAGGCCAATATCCCTGATGAACATAGATGGGAAAATCCTCAGTAAAATACTGGCAAACCAAATCCAGCAGCACATCATAAAACGTATCCATCATGATCAAGTTGGCTTCATGCCTGGGATGCAAGGCTGGTTCAACATATGCAAATCAATAAATGTAATCCATCACTTAAACAGAGCCAAAGACAAAAACCACATGATTATTTCAATAGATGCAGAAAAGACCTTTGATAAAATTTAACATCGCTTCAGGTTAAAAACACTCAATAAACTGGATATTGATGGAACATATCTCAAAATAATAAAAGCTATTTATGATAAACCTACAGTCAACAGCATTCAATGGGCAAAAGCTGGAAGCATTCCCTTTGAAAACCAGTACAAGACAAGGATGCCCTCTCTCACTACTCCTATTCAACACAGTATTGGAAGTTCTGGCCAGGGCAATCAAGCAAGAAAATGAAACAATGGGCATCAAATAGGAAGAGAGGAAGTTGAATTGAGTCTATTTGCAGATAACATGATTTTATATTCAGAAAACACCATCATTTCAGCCCAAAAACTCTTTAAACTGATAAGGAACTTCAACAACATCTCAGGATACAAAATCAATGTGCAAAAATCACAAGCATTCCTTTACACCAACAATAGACAGAGAGCCAAATAAATCATGAATGAACTCCCATTCACAATCACTACAAAAGAATAAAATACTTAGGAATACAGCTAACAAGAAACATGAAGGATCTCCTCAAGGAGAACTAGAAACCACTGCTCAAGGAAATAAGAGAGGACACAAATGGAAAAACATTCCACCCTCTTGGATAGGAAGAATCAATATCATGAAAATGACCATACTGTCCAAAGTAATTTATAGATTCAATGCCATTCCCAACAAAGTACCATTGACATTCTTCACAGAATTAGAAAAAAACTATTTTAAATTTCATATGGAATCAAAGAAGACCCCATATAGCCAAAACAATCCTAAGCAAAAAGAACAAAGCTGGACGCTTCATGCTACCTGACTTCAAACTATACTACAAGGCTACAGTAACCAAAACAGCACAGTACTAGTAACAAAACAAACATATACACCAATGGAACAGAACAGAGACCTCAGAAACAATACCACATATCAACAACCATCTGATCTTCACCAAACCTGACAAAAACAAGCAATGGGGAAAGGATCTCCTATTAAGCAAATGGTGCTGGGAAAACTAGCTAGCCATATGCAGAAAACTGAAACTGGACTCCCGCCTAACATCTTATGCAATAATTAACTCAAGATGGAGTAAAGACTTAAATGTAAAACCCAAAACCATAAAAACCCTAGAAGAAAACCCAGGCAATACTATTCAGGACATAGGCATGACCAAAGACTTCATGACAAAAACACCAAAAGCAATTGCAACAATTGCCAAAATTAACAAATGGGATCTAATTAAACTAACAGCAAAAGAAACTATCATCAGAGTGAACAGGCAACCTACAGAATGGGAAAAGAATTTTGCAATCTTCCCATCTGGCAAAGGTGTAATATCCAGAATTTACAAGGAACTTAAATTTACAAAAAAAAAACAACCCCATCAAAAAGTAGGCAAAAGGTATCAAGAGGCACTTCTCAAAAGAAGACATTTATGCAGCCAACAAACATATGAGAAAAAGCTCAATATCACGGATCGTCAGAGAAATGTAAATCAAAACCACAATGAGATATTATCTCACAAGATTCAGAATGGTAATTATTAAAAAGTCAGGAAACAATAGATGCTGGTGAGGCTGTGGAGAAATAGGAATGCTTTTACACTGTTGGTGGGAATGTAAATTAGTCCAACCATTGTAGAAGAGATTCCTCAAGGATCTAGAACTAGAAATAACCATTTGAGCAGCAATCCCATTACTGGGCATATACCCAAAGGAATATAAATCATTCTGCTATAAAGACAAATGTACACGTATGTTTGTTGCAACACTATTTACAATAGCAAAGACATGGAACCAACCTAAATGGCCATCAATGATAGACTGGATAAAGAAAATGTGGTACATATATGCCATGGAATACTATACTGCCATAAAAAGGAATGAGATCATGTCCTTTGCAGGGACATGGATGAAGCTGGAAGTCATCATCCTCAGCAAACTAACACAGGAACAAAAAAACCAAACATCACATTTTCTCCCTTATAAGTGGGAGTTGAACAATGAGAATACATGGACACAGAGAAGGGGATAACACACACTACGGCCTGTTTGAGAGGCAGGGGTAAGTAGAGGAAACTTAGAGGATGGGTGAATATGTGCAGCAAGCCACCCTGGCACATGTATACCTACGTAACAGCCAATTCTGTGCTTGTATCCTGATTTTTTTTCTTGTTTTTTGTTTTTTTGGAAGAAATTAAAAAAGAAAAAAAAGGAGGAGGGAGAAAAAGGAAGAAGAAAGAAGAAGAAAAAGAGCAGTTAGCATCTGATTTCCAGTCCAATCTTCCTTCTCCTAATAGACTTCTGGAAGGCAAGAATCACATCTTCTTCGCTACAGCTTTATTGTGCCAGACAAGCACCTTTCAAAGTACCCTATGAGTAATTTTAAATTTTTAAGACAGCTACAGCTACATGCTAATTGCCTAGGCTAAGTTCATTTGTTTAATATTTGGCAAAATTTTTCATCTCTGATTTAAGAGTAACAATCAAAAACATAACTTAAAATGCCTTGAAAATATAGCATTACTTGTATAATTCTTTCAAATTTCCTACATATCTATTTTATGTGTTCATTATGCACAGTATAACTAAAAATATTACCAAAAATGTTGACGCCTGTGAGACTGTATGTCTATACTTCAGAAAGACCTTTGCTCTTGTTGTGTTAGTATGAAATGTTTCCCTATCTCTGGAGAGTACCAATAAAGTAGATTATAAAGCCTCATAAATTAAAGACACTCTGTTATGACTAACTTACAGAGAGAAATGTACATAAATCGAAGATTCCCAAAACACCTATAAAATAAGGAAGTTGAACTTCTCATATTTCAAATGAGCTAGACTTTCAAAATAATTCTTAGAGAATTCAATTCATATTATTAAGGTAAATCTTTAGAAATCTCAAGTTTTATAGCTTTGGCTTAATAAAAATAGCCATGTCTCCTCTGATTTAATAATGTTAAGGACAGAGTAAGTACACATTTTATTTTACTTGGTTATGTTTTTCCCAAATGTATACAGGTTACTGAACTAATAACCAACTATGACATGTTAAGGTTATATAAAATGTAAATTTCTTTTTAACCAAACTTAATCACTATTCTGGAAAACTTTATGACAGCAGTGATTATACTTTGTAGTATATCTACTTGAATACAATTTCCAAAATCTTTAGGTAACCACAATGTGAAACTGGTATTATATTGACTTAATCAGTAGATAATTCCTCAGAATACTAAAACATTAATTACTAAGCATATTTGTCTATATACTTTTTCTTATTTTTGTATGCTATAAAAAGGCAATACCTTTGAGTTCTATTAACAAATATATTCATTTTTCCTATTTTACAAAAATGTAAGAGATGTGGGCAGCTGCAGAAAACTGGTATTCACGAGCTCTGGTACTCTGTTAAAACGCTTGTGTATGATTGAAAGTTCTCAAATATCTAACCCTCCAGTGTTGTTGCTGCTGTGTTTTTTCCTGCAAGATGTTAGTTACTTAGATTAAAAGTTATAATTATAATACTATGAGTGTTTAAGACTATA